GGCTCCCAGAACTGGATGCAGTACTCCAGCTGCGGCCTGACCAGTGTCGCATAGAGGGGGAGGATCACCTCCTTGGTCCTGCTTGAAATGCATCTGTGGATGCACGACAAGGTACAGTTGGCCTTCCTAGCCGCCTCCCCACACTGCCGAGCCATGTTCATCTTGGAGTCAATAATGACTCCAAGATCCTTTTCCACCTCCGTGCTGAAAACAGGGGACTTCCCCAGTCTGTAGGTATGGTGCCGGTTGTTCCTCCGCAGGTGCATCACCTTGCACTTGTCTGTGTTGAACCCCATCCTGTTCTCCTCCGCCCATCCTTGTAACCTGTCAAGGTCCGACTGTAGCCTGTTGCTCCCTTCTATTGTGCCCACATCCCCCCACATCTTGGTGTCATCAGCAAATTTGAACAGGGTGCTTTGCACCCCCTCATCCAAATCACTGATGAAGATGTTGAACAGGGCGGGCCCGAGGACCGAGCCCTGCGGGACCCCACTGCCCACGTCCTTCCAGGCTGAGAAGGACCCATTCACTACCACCCTCTGGGTGCGGCTCTCTAGCCAGTTGGTGACCCATTGGACTGTGTGGGTGTCTACGCCACAGTCCCCCAGTTTCCTAATGAGAACGGGGTGAGAGACAGTGTCGAAAGCCTTCTGGAAGTCCAGGAAGACTATATCCACTGCTGCCCCTGCATCCAATGATTTAGTGACCTGATCGTAGAAGGCCACCAGGTTGGTCTGACATGACCTGCCGCTGATGAACCCGTGCTGGTTGCCCCTGAGCATGCATTTCCCTGCTGGCCCCTCCTGGATGTGTGCCAGAATAATTTTCTCAAACAGCTTGCCCAGGATCAAGGTAAGACTGACTGGCCTATAGTTTCCTGGGTCCTCCTTCCTCCCCTTTTTGAAGATGGGAACCACGTTGGCCCTCTTCCAGTCCTCCGGCACCTCTCCAGAGCACCACGAGTGCTCATAAAGCTACGCCAGGGGACTCGCAATGACCCCGGCCAGTTCCTTTAGAACTCTAGGGTGGAGATCATCCGGACCGGCTGACTTAAAAACGTCCAGCCCCTCCAGCAGCTCCCTAACTAGATCCTCACTTACCCTGGGCTCAGGTGTGCCTCCCTCGGGGCCCGATGGGGGCCTAGCAGGGAGGTGGCAGTTCTGGTCCTTACTGAGGAAGACAGAGGCAAAGAAATCATTAAATATGTTGGCTTTGTCGTCTGGTGTGACAACCAGATTCCCCGTTGCGTCCTGCAAGGGCCCCACATTACCCAGGGCCTTCTTTTTACTCCCTATGTATTTAAAAAAGGACTTCTTGTTGTCCTTAATCCGGGAAGCTAGTCCCAGTTCCATCTCTGCCTTGGCCTTCCTAACTACCCCCCTACACCCCCAAGCAACTGCCGAATAGTCCTCCTTGGTGATGAGAATTTCAAAAAGGTGCTTGTAGTTTCTCCTAACCTTAAACATAACCTCAAGGGGAAATTTACTCATGTACCACATGCATCTTTCCCCACAATTGGATTGCATGTCTGAAGTAGAGAGGCTGATTTTTCTTTGCTGGACTGGAAACATGGAGGCACTGTACTCTAATGGTTCCCAAGATGGCTCCTGCTCATCTCCAGCCCACTGTAGCTTGTGCCTGAAGGGCCCTAAACCAGCATAGTTAAGTGAGCTGCTGCTTGCAGTCCACAATATCTTGATGAGGTGTGGAAACAACACTTTATCATAGAACTGAAATAAAGAACTATTTACAACAAAAAACAATGGCCACTTGTAGATGTGCTCACCATTAACTGATTCACATCACATAATTCGAATCAAATGTCAATCCAAATTAAGTGTCAATAGATAATCACTGACCATCAGGGAGGTTTTTGTGCATTTCTACACTTCTGCTGTGGAGACAATGGGGCTTCTGGTGCCAAACCTGCTGGTGAGCACAAGCAATAGCAAGCCCTAGATACCTGCTGTATGTGTGTGTGTACACACACACACACACACACACACACACACACACACACACACACACACACACACTAATTAATACAGTTTAAACTGCCTGTTCAGACTGCCCTAATTTGCATTAACTTTAATCCTCATTCAGTGATGATTAGTTAGTTCAGACTAGAGCCAATTTTAATTCAGACTATAGATGTCCACATGTATATAGTGATGGCTGTAGTCCAGATTAAACCTAGAAAAACATAATGTCTATATACAGCCAGTAAATTTTGCTCTTGTGCAAGTCTGTGGCATAGCCTTGTTGCTGTCCTCTGTACCAAGAAGGTCACAAAGATTTAACCATATTTGAAGAAGTCTACAAAAAAGATATGGATGCCAACATGTAGCATCTTGTGGGGGGGAGGTGGGGAAAAAAGTCTATCAGGCAACTGCAGTTTGCCTTTGTCTGAATAATTTGCTATTTTAGAAGATACTTTACAACTTTGCAGAGCCATCAAATATGTCAGTGCTTGTACAAAAATCAACATGACTGCTTTTTACCTTGATTAGTAAAACTGCTGGGTTTGTGTTGACAAAAAGATGCCATCATAATTTTAGCTACAAAAGTCCTTTAAAAAAAAAAAAAAAAGGAAAAAAAATCACAACACTTTTTTCTAAATTAATTGTTTTTACTTTTAAAAATGTGCTCAATATTTCAAATTATAAAAACAAAAGCACTGGTCTCAAACTCATATAGAAAAAAAAATCTCATAAAAGTGACCCTGGGTCTTGGTATTTGTTATGTTCTTAAGACCAGAAGCTATAAAACTGTGCATCTTATCTGTGAACGCATCTTCATATCAAGAAAAAGAATATTCTGCAAAAGCATCATTTCCACCAAAAAAATACCTCTTGTTAACTGCAAATTCTATACCAAACTTTGATCAATCATATGCCACAATTGTTTCCTCCCACAAGAAAAATATTTGAAGCAAGCAGAAATTTGGCGAAATGCCACTAACTACAACCAACACTCTCAAAACTTTCACTGAAGAATCCCAGTAGCATTTACAAACCATGGCATTAAGTTTCCCTGATGCCATCTTAAACTTTTTTTGTACCTCTTTGAGAATATGAATATTGTTTTCCCGTAGCAGACATAATATTGCCAGGGAAAGTAAATGAAAATTTAGCAAGAGCAGCAATTCTCTGCTATAAAGTAGTACCTGCTTTCTTTATTTCATTTTCAGGACACTTACTAACATTTTCAAAGGCACAATATAATGTGCCAAAAATATATTCACTTAAAATACATGCTATAGTATCAGTCAGTTTGCTACACAATAGGCTCTGGGAAACCATGGTGCTACAACCGCTGCTCGAGTTCAAGTGCTGTGATCTGAAGTAAAGCATGCCATTTAATATGTTTGTACTAAATCAACAGCATTATGTTAAAAAAAAAATCCCACACCTTCCCCCCTCCCTCCCCACTTTCAGAGAAATATCAGGGCTTGCTATACTAGGAGACTTCAGCCAGAGCTGAAATACATTACAGGAGACTGATATGTGAGCTGCAAGTCTCCAAGGTAATATTCAGTCAACTGATGCTCTGTACAGGGTCAGATTTCATCACCCTTGCTTAAGCTAATAACTTGCGTTGCATGTAGTCACACTGGTATCAGTGACTGCTCCTAAAATAAGAACTCTTCAACTTGAGCATGTGGGGCAGAACCTGGCCTTAAGTGGCAAGTTTGCCTGGTTAAGGACTACATCCGTATATTTTGTGTCATACCAGAAAACTACAGAATTCTGTTCTTGTTAGGAGAGGGCTGCAGCTTTCTGAAGGCAGGATGTGTCTGGGTGTTTTGTGGTTTCAAAACATTACTCTGCAAGAAGCATTCTAGTTGGGCCTCCCAACGCTACATCCTGTGCCCACCAGCATCCCAATGAAGACAGGAAGTACCTTACCAGTTCTAGTGTGTTTTTCTTGCTTACAAGATGGCAATGTTCATTTTTCCCCACCATCGTGCTGGGGACTCCCCCTTCAAAATAGACCCTGCTTGTGTCCTTGGATAAGGAGACCATCAGGCTCAAAATGCAGTCAGAATCTTCTTGCCTATCCCCATATTTGAGGTGCATCTCTGCAGGCTAAAATAGCCAGCTCAATAAAACCACCAAGACCAGTCACAATTTCCCAATCTAATAGTGCCTTCTTAGCAGACTGAGGCTTATGGGGAGGGAGGGACAGGAGAGGGCGGAAGAAAAGGCCGTAAGCAAACTACTCACAAGATACAGCCAAATTCTTTAATAAGCAAGCAACCAGTACTAGTATAAGTACAATGGCTAATGGATCACCCTCTAAAGAGGCAAGGGAAAGCATTTTCCTTTGGAAGCAGCCAAGAAAATGATGAAAAGGCAACAGCAAAATGAGAAATCCTTCATCAGAAACAGGAAGGAAAATAAAACCAACCAACTTTAAGCCTTTGAAACTCCCCCTAGGTATGACAATAAGCATCCCTGCACCCAGAAGTCAGTGCTGGGCTCTGTATGTGGAATTCACAAATCCAGATCAGACACCTGAACCCCTTTAAGTGGGGACTGGGATTCACAATTCCCAATACAAAAGAATGCAAGTCTATTAGCGCCACTGCAAAGACTTCCCAACAACCCTTTCCTAAATCGACAAGTCTTTCAAAACTCAGTTTTCACTTTTGTGAGGGATTCGGTATGTTGCAGTCCGCAGTAATTAGTGAAACGCCCGATGTTGATCAAACTCAGTGCAAAGACATGAAGCTGCTGCT